TTTATTTTAAATGTTTCTTTCCATTCAAGGCATTCTTCATGGCTTTTAAAATGATGCAAATACAGTCAAAAGTCGTTAATTCGGACACCCATAATCCAGAATGATCTATAATCTGGACCTCAAAGCTACAAACTTTCTGCGCATGCGTCGCGTTCACGCATGCGCACAGGCATTTACGAGAGCGCGTAAGACCTTTACGGCTGCGAATATGTTTGTGCGCATGCGCCTTTAATGTGTAACGGAGGTATAAGCTAAGCTAAAATTATCTAATTCAGTTAATGTTGCAGATTGCATTGTTCCTTAATCTTCAAATTGGATCCAGCTTATTATTTTTTGCAGACTGTTAGAGCAATTTCATAAAAGTAAGTTTGAACTTTCGATTATGTCAAATAGAATTTCCGATATATATTTACTAATATGTAATTTGTATCTACAAAGCGAAAGTATGTTTTGAAATCCGAAATCTGTTTATCAATTTCACGCCGCGGATTGGAAGCTGATCTGTCAGCACTATCCTTATCTTCAGGGCAGATGTTTTTATTTTATTTGGCTTATAATTCCTTACTAAGTGTACTATTTCATCTCGATGTACTCCGTCTTTGATATGATTTAAATCAAGTTCCTCGTCATTATAATTTGCTTCCGATAGTGAAGAAAGTGACCCAGAGGTTATTGAAAACAAAAACATTTCGATTGACAAATTAGTCGGTATTCTCAACACAGCAATTATAGGACTTGAACAGCAGAACTTTGTAACTAAACAAGAAATTATGTCTGTTTAATAGAATTAAAGAGAAAGTATTATCACATGAAACGAAGCAACTTACATTGAAAGAAATGTTTAATAAAGTAAACAAATAAATATTAAGCTTTTTCTTTTTGTAAATTTTGATACCCTTTAGATCATAATTGTTCTTTATTTCATAAATTATGGTTTCATATTTTTAATTTTGTAATCTCTGCATGCCATCTTACCAGATTTAAACTGATGATCTATAATCCGGAATCGCCGAAGTCCCGATGAGTCCGGATTAACGACTTTTGACTGTACAAGATTACAGATCTTGGAAAATCTAACTGAACTTTAACTTTCTCAATTCAAATGTGTGGCTCCTGGTGTCATGAAGTTTGGTAGTCCTATTTTAAAATAAAGGATTTGTAAAATATTTAACATTAGAAAGTATTCTGTATTGCATAGTGTTTGTACTAAGTAGAACACATTTAAATGATCTGCATATGGAAGGATTGGGCCCAAATATGCAAACAGTGCAACATGCTAAGGTATTTAGGACGTAAGATTTTCTTGTAATTTGTCTTATGAATGCATGCAGTGTCTTATGAATGCATGTGTTTGTAATCTCTTTTCTTGTATATTAATTAACAAAAAATAGGCCTAAAATACATTATGTTGTTTTTGTTACTAACCTAATTTGTCTAAATCAGATCAAATACATGTAAAATTTGAAACTATGGAATAAAGTTCACAGTATGTGAATAGCTGACATTGTATCAATAACTGCATAACAGAAATGATTAACCTGAGATTATGTAACACTTTTATGATATCTCTTCTAAATTCATATTATTTTTATGTAGAACATATAGTCACATTGTTTTTATTAGATCAATACTTGAATCTGCCACTTTCAAATTAGATATTTGCAGGCATAAAAACTGATTAAATTAATACAAGATTGATGTACACATACTTATCCAAATAAAATGTAAATTATGCTGAGTGTTAAAAAAATCTTATCCTTTGAATGTAAGCAATCATATTTTATCAGGTCAAAAATTAAATTTTGAAAAAATAATTATGTATGTATGTAGATATAATAGCAAATCAGCTTTTCTTGTATAGTCAGTCATCCAAAGGATATTTGCTGTTGGTATTGAATCTGTTTGTATATGAACAACTTTTAAAATTTCCTTTAAGTAAATGACATTTTAGTTATGATCTGTAGAAGGCCATTCAGTTTCTCATTTGTATTTTATATGATACATATTGCATTCATTATCTGTGTCATTAAAGTATCTGTTGCAAGTAGGACAAACTTTATTCAGATGATGTACTACATTTCTGAGGAAGAATGTTTACTACAGTCAAAAGTCGTTAATTCGGACACCCATAATCCGGAATGATCTATAATTCGGACCTCAAAGCTACAAACTTTCTGCGCATGTGTCGCGTTGAGGTAAGACCTTTACGGCTGCGAATTTGCATGTGCGCGTGCGCAAAATAAGTTTATGAATGCATGTTTAATGTATAATGGACGGTATAAGCTAAGCTAAAATTATCTAATTATCTATTTCAGTTAATGTTGCAGATTGCGTTGTTCCTTAATCTTCGAATTGGATCCGGCTTATTATTTTTTGCAGACTGTTAGAGCAAATTTATAAAAGTAAGCTTGAACTTTCGATTATGTCAAATAGAATTTCCGATATGTATTTACTAATATGTAAAAGATCTACAAAACGAAAGTATGTTTCGGAGTCCATAAAACAAAAAGTCGAATTGCTGCAAAAAATGGATAAAGGCATATCCTTTGTTTATCTAAACTTTAACGTTTGTTTATCTAAACTTTGTTTATCTTTAATGCTGCGGCGCCGCACAATGAATTGGAAGTTGATCTGTCAGCACTATCCTTATCTTCAGGGCAGATGTTTTTATTTTATTTGGCTTATAATTGCTTACTAAATGTAGTATTTCATCTCGATGTACTCTGTCTTTGATATGATTTAAATCAAATGCCTCGTCATTATAATTCGCTTCCGATAGCGAAGAAAGTGACAGAAATTATTGAAAACGAAAAAATTTCGATTGACAGATTAGTCAGTATTCTCGACACAGCAATTATAGGACTTGAACAGCGGAACTTTGTAACTGAACAAGAAATTATGTCTGTTTATAGAATTAAAGAGAATGTATTATCACATAAAAAACGAAGCAACTTAAACAACTTACGTTGAAAGAAATGTTTAATAAAGTAAACAAATAAATATTAAACTCTTTTTTTTTTTTTCTAAATTTTGATACCCTTTAGATCATAATTGTTCTTTATTTCGTAAATTACGGTTTCATATTTTTAATTTTATAATTTTTGCATGCCATTTTACCAGATTTAAACTGATGATCTATAATCCGGAAAAATCGATAATCCGGAATCGCCAAAGTCCCGACGAGTCTGGATTAACGACTTCGTAAGTAAAGAACATTTGTACGAGTTATTTTTCAGTAATAATACTCTGGAAGAAATAATCTGATTTTGTCTCCAGTTAAATTTTTATCTATTCATATTAAGTATGAAGTAAATAAATTTTTAGCAATTTGATTTTCTCAAAATTCAGAAGCAGAACTTTTAGTATTTAATTGCAGAATATGCAAATTTCTAATATATTTCACTTTTTCATAATTACTATAAATGACAGTTTTTAATTGTTATTGCATAAAGGTAATGCATTAACAATTAAAAACTGCATAACATGTTATGTTGTTCGGTACAACTCTGATATACCCCCTAATTTCATCAAATGTGGCGATATGTGTTCTGCGCTGGTTTTTGGCGCGATTGCGTGTTCTATGGCAACCCTGTTGACGTTGAAAAATCTTTTGCTGGAACTCATTGATTCGCGTTTGTGTCTGAGAAGATGGGAGGGAAAGATAAAATGGTAGTTGTTGAATTGAATTTCGGCAAAAGGAAATATCATTGTGGCCATCCTGTTAAGGGCTAGTGGGTATATGGAGGTGTGGAAAGAAGGTCTCGGAGATTATTTTTAATGGCTGTGCATGATAGAAGTAGGGATTTGTGATTTTATTTATTTGTGAACCATAGTATGAATTTTCTGGAGTGTGTCTGGCTGTCATGTAAATGCAATAGTGATTACGTGGTGGCATGTTAAAGGCGGTATGAAATTGGTATTTCTGCTGTTCAAAAAAGCATTACTTCATGGTAAGTGCATTTTACTTTATTCTTGTTCTTATTTTGTAGAATGTTATGTTCATTGGTTCTTTAGTATGAATTTCTGTCGTTATTGTTGTTTTTGAAACAGAACGCTGTGTACATGGTATTATTTGAAATTTATTGTTGTTATGTTATTTTATTAAAGCGAGGTGTGCGTAGATCGTAGATTCATTCCTTGCCTAAATTGTGCAATTTGTAGATTTTTTTAAAGTTTAAATAGGATGATGTGTACATGGTATTCTTTGAAATTTATTGTTGTTATGTTAATTTATTAAAGCAAGGTGTGTGTAGTTTGTAGATTCGTTCGTTGTCTACATTGTGCCATTCGTAGATGTTTCTTAAAGTTAAAACATGTCGCTGACATGGATTTTTGTCAAATATTTTTGGTTAGGAACTTTATGTTTTTCCTATCTAAATTTTTTGTTTTTTGGTTTCAGATTTTTAGCTTAAATAGTGTGTGTTCAAAACGTAGTTTTTGCATGTGCGAAAACCACGTTTTTGGAGACATTTTAGGCTTAAAGTTCAAAATGTAGACAAAAAATTTAGATAGTGATATGGCAGCGTGAAGTTTCTCGCCAAAAATGTTTGGCGAGAAATTTGGCGACTTGAGGGCGCATATCAGAGTAGTTCCGTTGTTCTAGTATGAAATTACACATTCTAGATAGAAAAATTTGTTTCCAGAGAGAAAAATAGTAGTTGTGAACACGATTTAAAACTGATGACTTTGTAAAATTTGATTCTTGTTACTTGCAGTTCATCAATATTTCTGTGGTTAATGATATTTTAGTCTAATTTTGAACACATTTACATGATTCATAAATTCATATGAAACATTTTCTTTTTGCAAAAAACTGCATGCATTTTATTCAAAAACATGAAACTTTGGTTTAGTTTCTATATTGTTTTTAATAAAATAAAGCCACTGTTACATTAGAAGTCTTATTAGTAGAACACAAACATGTACTTATTTTAATTACTAATAAAAAGTTCTTAATTTATGTAAAACTGTTTAACTTTGTAATGTTTTTAATATTGCAGATAGCTGTATTTTACGTATACCAGTCTTATATGGAGATGAAGAATACATTGGAGAAAGTGCTGTATCATCTCTCATAAAGAATTTAAAACAGCCAGTTCCCACAAAGCTGTCTAATGCTGAAATCAGGTTTCCATCACATACTAATGATATTGCTTCCATCATCTTTCAGTTAATGCAGTGCAAATTAAAGGTAAGCAATTAAAAATTTAAAAATTCACTTGTCTATGAAATATTTCAATAATATTACAAAATACGTATATGTATACACTCACATACATCCCTACTTGCAGACATATATATATTTCTGAACCGGCCGGGCCAACAGAACACTATTCAAAGTACTTTTGCTCTCAACATTTTCAGCTATTCAAGGAAGAATGTCTGTGTTGAAAATAATGCTTAATAACTCACATAATAAGTTCACATTGACTATTTCATCTGCTAATAGTAATAATGTTTCTTTAAGGGGAAAACATTCAAAGGCTTATTCACCCAAAGGGGAAGGGATGCCTTCATGGAGGTTTTTCGAAGAAAAACTGGCTGGTATTCACATTGTACATTGCTTGAACCATGAGCACATCTTTTAAATTGCTTTTTAAACTGCTGGGAAATAAACCTTGGATGTTATACCAGTGTTCAGCAGCAATAATTGCACAACTTTTCGGGAGCATAACTAGTTCTCACGACGTGCTTCGCCTTGCCAGGTGCCCTTCAGAACAGTTACGGGGGTTCGACCCTCTTCCCTGTACCCTAGAGACACTGACACTAATCGCCATAACGGCGATCCTGGTCGTCTAGATGCTACTTGCCAGTTGCTCAGGCTGCCCGTTGCAGTGGAACATTACCCAGAGAACCCGGAATGCTACCCCCCAGGCTACTACAGTCTCAGTGTTCTAGGACAAGCAAAAATTATTGTGCTGAATTACCTGTTTTTATTATTTTATGCAGCAGCTGTTGCATTTGCATATGAAAATAATAGCATTTGCAATCATATTGACAGTATTCAGAGAGAAAAATGAATATTTTTTTTAACTTTCTTATGGTAATGATGAAAGTATTTTCCCCCAGAAAAGTTATATTCAGTGCAGTGTTTCATGAACTGTTTAATTTTAGAAGTAAGTATCTGTTTCTTCATCTATCCCAAAACTGCAACCTATTTTCATGCCATTTTCTGTTTATGATACTGTGTCCATGCATAGGCAGTTTTCATGAAGAAGTTCACTTGGAATAATAAGTTTTAGTTTTTATTTATGGGTTCATTTAAATTTTTTCCTCAACTCATTTACTAAGTTTTTTTAATACGTCCATACTTATTTTGCAAATTCACTTGTTTACAAAGCTGAAAAGTTAAAAATATACCTTTATATCTTTAGATTTCTCTCTTTCTTTTTTTAACTGGCTTAAAGTTAATTATGACATTATATATATATAAGTTTGGAATCGTAGAATTGAAAGCCAACTACTATTTATACGGCTTGCTTCAAATGTTGATTTAATCTAATAGGGATTATGTATGGACACAGTATCAAATTTTAAAGTATTTTGTAAAATATAATGAGTATAAAAGAATTTTGTGATGCTTTTTGTGGAAATGTTTACATAAGTTGTGAAACTTAATGTTTGCTTTCGATTTTGATAAAAAAATATCTTTCATTAAAACAACAACTAGTTCCTGTAATGTTTAAAATTATATCTGTATGAAGAAAAAGTATTTTCTTTCTAAAAGAAGCTGCTGTAATTTATCTTTGTATCCATACACATTAGCAAAATATTCACAAATATTCATTGCAAATATTTCTTTCAGGCTTCTTTCTAACAAATATGCAAGTCACTAATTAAATTCATTCTTTAGCTGTGTTCTTAACTGTTAGCCATTCTTTGCAGTTTCTCCTTAGATGTATCTTCAGATATATAGCAATTTTGACAGTTCGAGAGCAGATTAGCTCAGGATATTGTCTCAATGAATGCCTTTTTTTCCCTGACTGTAAGTAGAAGTGTGTAACCCTAAATATTTTGTGAATATAATAAGGAAAAGTAATATTTTTTAAATTTTGGAATTCCTATTAAACTCTAAATGTATTATGGATAATTAATGATTTACAAGTAGCATATATGTGGGCAAACAAGATGTTGAGTTATATTTAAGTGGGAGCTCTCTTCATCTTATAAAAAGAGGGAACATCATGTATGCCACCAAAGTCAAAGTGGACAAATACACTGGTTATAAAGTAACGAAAAATCACGATTACTGAGAAAGTTACATGTAGAATTTTATGAAACTTGCCCGCAATATACAACACGTAGTAAGGTATCAAATAACATAAAAATAAATTACCAGACAATTATGGTAGTATTAGCACATGTATAAAATGAACAAATCGAAGGTGTCAGTTTGCTATAGGAAAAGTACCTTCAATAGGGAATATGATCGCCTCTAGAAGCAATACAGCACATAGAGTGATGCGTGATGCTTTCAATTATGCGGTCTATCAGTTCCATAGGAAGCGAGAGCCATTGCTCTTGCAAAGCTGTTGCAAGCATGGCAAGGGTCTGAGGGGGCAGACAGAGAGCAGCTAGACGTCTTCCTAAATCATCCCAAATGTGCTTAATAGGATTCAAGCCCAGGGATCAAGCTGGCCACTCCATGCACATAATTGTTTCCTGTTGAAGATAATCATCTACAATGCGAGCCTTGTGTGATCTTGAGTTATCATCCTGTAACAGGAAAACATCACCTATTGCCCTGGCACATGGGTGCACATAAAAGCATCAAGGATGTCATCTCTAAACTGGAGCGACAAACGACATTCACGGTTTTCGTTGGAAAGACATGGAGGTCTGTGCGTCCACCCAAAGAGATGCCACCCCAAACAAAGACACTGCCTCTTCTGTATGCATCTCTATAACGGATGTTTGACGGATGATAACGGGTTCCAGGTTCTCTCCATATCAAATAACGCCTACTATCCCTATCTAGACTAAACCTGGACTCATCCGTAAAGAGAACAGCCCTCCACTGATCAAGCGTCCAAGTAGACATGTTGTCGTGCCTACTGCAAACGGCCCCTCCTATGGCGTGATGTGAGCGGCATGCAAATGGCTGGTCGTCTCGCATACAGACTACCTTCGTGAAGCCTTCTACACACAGTTTACGTTGACACCAACCTTCCGTTGGCTACAGCAAGGGAGGATCTAAGAAGAGTCGGAGTAGCGGTTCTAGTCCTGTGTGCACATAATGTCAAATATTGGTCATCAGTGCTCATCGCAGCAGTTGGCCGTCCTTGGCTGAACCTCCTAGATGCTGAATCTGTGGTTTGTAATTGCTTCCAAAGTCTGTGAACCACAGGACTTGCATTTAGCCATCAGGCTACTTCTGTTTGACTTTATCCTGCCTCTAGTCTCCCAATGGCTCTCCATTGTAGTTCTGCAGGCAAATGATGCCTGGAGGTCATTGTTACGAATTGGCTATCTCTGATTTCTGATGTCACAATGAAATATGTGGGCTTGCTCTCAAACATGGACTTTTACTCTCCTTGCAGATGACGTATTCCAAATGCAGTGCCACTAATTTGCATATTGCAGTTTTACTCAGCTACTCTTACTTGGCAACATATTCAAATTTTACACGGTTTGGCTTATTTTTGATTGGAGTTATCGCTATTTTTGTGATTTTTCCTTAATTTATGATAACCAGTGTATAACAAGCCACTTGAAGTGCTGGTAGCTGGAATCTAGCATGGAGATTTGTCGCTCTTTTTGTACTTCCTCCCCATGGTGACAATCAATTTCTGTATTTGTGGTATGTTTTGCCCTAAGAGTATGTATATATTGAAAATGGCTGTTCACATATCACTACACAGGGCCATGATTGACAGTACTGATGAACTTAATTCTCATCACCAATGGTATTTTGATGACATGACCTTTCCCAATGTTTTTTTGAGTCTCAGGTAATGAGTGTTTAATCTATGAAGTACTGTGGCATCTTACGGATAAAAGTCTAACCTATAACCACATTAAGGAGTGATATTTCAATATAAATAGCAAAATTACTATTTTTCATCATCAACAAACTAGGAAGTAAGCACACAGCTGTCTTTTCAGGATCTTGTTGAATGTTGAGATTTTAATAAGAAAAATAAATTTCACAATAAATATGCGTGATTAAAAATATAAAAAACTTAATCAAAGAGTTAGCAGAGAAGTTCATGCTTTGGGAGCACGCGATAAAATACGTGATATAAACATTCACAATAGTGTATATCAGAGTGCTACAGATATATGAAATCAGATGCTCTCCAAAAGAATATTTTCAAATGTAAAGTTCAGCCTATGAGGCAACTATTTGAATATGGGAAATGGCCAAAACTAAACATTTGGAAACTGTCTGTACTAAAGCTTTTGGATATGAAAAGAAAGCAACTTCTAATATCGAGTTTTAACAAAAGTTTCCCACCACTGCAAACATTGTCTGTGCAAACACTTCTCATTGGCATGTTTAATCATATTTTATCAAATGATTTTTGGCATTTGAAAGAAAGAGACATGTTGTGAAATTTGTAAAAAAATGTCATTATCATTGCCTACCCGTATTTGTAATAAGAATGTCATTACATTGCAGAAATACCCTCCCCCTTTACATAAGAATTTCCTAATATGCATTATCCCAACTTGCAAGGAATACAATCTGGATGCAAAATGATTCATCTTGTACTGAGTCTTCAAAGTTTATGCTGCTGGTATTTTAATTAATTTATTATCACAATTGAGTATTTAAGTATCTGATACTGTAAATGAGTAGTATCTAGAAAGTTGTCAGTTCTTGCAATTCTATAAGAACTCCCTTTAGATAAAGATATGATTTGATATTAGATGCTATATTTTTGTTTATTTCTCTATCAACAGGATATGTCCTTAAATTCTGTTTTTCACTGGTGCGGATTAGAACCTTTTACAAAGTATGAAATGGCAAAAATTATTGCTGAAGAGTTTTCCATCTCATTCTCCCACATTATACCAGATGAGACTCCAAGTTCTGCTCCACGACCGAAAAATGTCGAGCTTAGTTGTGATAGACTGAAAAAATTAGGGATAAGCCAGCATACAGTTTTTCGTGATGGAATAAGACAAAGTTTTAGGAAATTCTTTGAAGAAACAGAACTGTAATATTCACTTTGTTTATTGTTTTGTTATGATTAAATTTTGTTCAAATTATTATATAAAATAAAATTTTTATGACTGTTTTTCTCTCTTTTTAATAATATCCACATGAAACCCTACATTAAGACTTTCCATTTAAATAGTGAAATTTTTCAAATTTAAGCAAATTATGCATGAAGTTTTGAAAAGTTGATTGCATACTTTTTTCCATACTTTGTACCCTAAGCTGTGGTAAAAGAGATACAGCATTCATTCTCCAAATTCCTTTCTTTAAACTTTGTAATATCTGTCAACCATAGGTTCTGAATGTGAGGGCAGTGGGCAGTGAGGAAATCTTAGGGGCTTTATTGGTTGGAGAAGCAGTAAGGGGGCATTAAAAAGCAAGTGGCAAATAGCAGTGCGATTGGAAAATTTGATTGGCTAAACATTTTTTTTTAAATGCTTAAACATTAACTTAATGATACTAATATAACAATCATGCATCTTTAAAATAAAATCAAGTTAACTGTTTATACATGTTGATAGAAGCTGTGTGTAAGCTCTTCCACCCCCCCCCCAAGTAACAAAAAATTCTGAGAACATAATTCTAGAATATACAAATAGTTTGTTCTTTCAGTATATACCATTGCATGTCCTGGGGCAAGAATATATGAATATTTTATAAGGTTCCTGATTACCATTCTACTACCACAATGCATGGCAAGCTTTAATTGTTAATTTAACGCAGTGCAAGTGCAACATAAAACACTATTATAAACTTTCGTATTTAAATAAAGGAATTTTTTTTTATTTGAGCAGACTATGTGGGGAGTTTGAAAAGTTGGCTACATACTTTTTTCCATAATCCTTTGTCATATAAAATTTTCTAAAGCTTAAATGAAATTTAAAGGGGAAGCTTCAAGTATAAATTTTGAAATAAAATGCCATTGAAGTTTGGTGTGTCTGAATATTCTAACTATGTAGAAATTCGCTCAGAAAGTAGAAGTTGATGTAAAACTACAAATTCTACACAGTTGTTCATCCAACACAAAGCTGGAAAGCATGAGTAAAAAAGGTGTTAAGGTTAAAAGAATGGAAAGTGAATTGGAAAATGTGATCTAAAACCTTAAAAAGGTTATTCTTGTATTTTATATTGTGTAAATCGAAATAATTTTCCTTCCAAGAATCTGATGTGAACCAAGGAAAAGTCTTTATACAAATTTTGGTTGAAGAAATGATGATGCAAATTTTAGCTTTGAAAGCAGCATTAACTTATTTAAAATTTTGTAAAACGTTTGCTCAATTATGTAGGTTTAGAATTTAACTTCTCATCCATGGTCATTAATGTAACATTTAATATTTCATAATTTTCAAATGGCAACAATTAGCATTTAGTAACTTGTGAACGGCAACATTTTTGGAATCATGTAAAAAGTAGAACTATGTTAGTGCTGCAGTGCTCTATAATATTCTATGCTTATAATAAAGAGTTTAAACAGGTAAAAGTGTACCCTCTTTATTTTATATGGCATTCAGGAGTGTTTTGCTTTCAAAATGGAACCATCACAGCCAACGAAATTTGATGGAAATCTTGCTTCAAACTGGCAGACTACAGTCGCTCGAAAAATATGAAATAACCAGTGGGTTACATAATAAAGAATAGAAGGTAACAGTTAATACCTTTCTTCATGCAATAGGAATTTGCGGTTTTGAAATATATATTGCAATTCCTATAGAAGATGGTATAAATAAAATTAAGACAAAATTTATGGAATATTGTATATCTAAGAAAGATATTACACATGAAAGACATTTATTCTTTACTAGAAATCAAACCACGTTGAAAGCCACAGATGAGTAAGTAACTGATCTTTGAAATAAAGCTAGAACATGTGAGCTTATACAATTAACAGATAATCTAATAATGGATAAAATAGTTTGTGGTATTAAAGATGATGTAGTGAGAGCAAGATTATTACATGAAACAGAATTAGCATTAGAAAAAGCTCTTGGTATATGCAGATCTTCAGAAATAAATACACATCAGATGAAAATAATAAAAGATGAGGAAACTGTAATAAACAGTGAAAAAGAAACAAAATAAATATATTAAGAATATAAACAAAGAGGTAAATATTGAGAAACAAGCAACAAAATTTTGTTTTAAGTGTGGAACATCTTATGAGTATCTAAAGTGTCCAGCATATAAAAAAATGTGTCACACACGTAAAATGCAAATCATTTGCGAATTACTGCAAAAGCTATAAAATAAAAAATGAAGCTATCAAGATAAACAAAAAAGAGAAATTAAACTACTAGATCATAACTCTGAGGAAGAGTTAGAAATTTATATAGGTGCATAAAACCTTAGTTCAAATAACAAAGAAGAGAAATTGACTGTTGACATTAATATAAATAAAAATAACTTGAATTTGCAGTTAGCTACTGGAGCGATGTGCAATATTATTTCTAAAAGCAAAGTGAAAATGCTAAATGTTCCAATATGGAAGTCTGAAATTAAAAGATTAGTTACATTCTATGGGAATATTAAGATTAAAATCATGTCTGCAATAGTTTTGATTCAAAAAAGTAATGTCTGTTTATACTGAGGACTTACTGGAGGAATACAGAGATGTAATTGAAGGCTTAGGCTGTTTGAGTGGAGAATATAAAAATCCAGTTAAAACAAGATGCAATACCAGTAGTTCATCCTCCTAGAAAAATACCCATAGCTATACAAGATAAAGTGAAGAAAGAACTACAAAGAATGGAAAATTTAAATGTTATTGAGAAGATAAGAGAACCAAATGAATGGATAAATTCAGTAGTCAGTCACTGTTATCAAACCTAACAAAGTAAGAATATTAATTTAGAAGTCAAACAACAAAGTGTTATATTTTCAAATTTTCACAGGACTAGTTTCAATGGTTTTACCGAAACTCCATCCTCAGCTGCAAAAGCACAAATGAACGAGATAAAATCCATTGGAGAACTGGATTTTCTAGAGGCATTTCACATTCAAAAAAAAATTTTTTTTTTCTGTTTTAGTTAAGGATCCTAATTCGAATCCATCTTTGCCTTCAGCCTTTAAAAAAATTATGTTTTAGTTCTGGTTTCTTCAACAGATTGCACCACTTGATTATTTTCTGTCCAGGCTTTCTTATCTAATCATTATATCCTATCTCACTCATTTGCGCTTTTGCAGCTGAGGATGGAAAAGGAATTCTGTTTACATTTTCTTTATAGTTCCACGTACATGATGCTAATAAAAATAGTTTATATTGAAAGATCTTCTTCAGTCATAATAAAGTGGCATCCAAAGACAAGGCAGAGTTTGTATTCAGCATTTGAAGAATTTAGAATTATAAAAGTGTGCAGGTACGAATAATTTAAATTACTGCTTATAAGTATACAATATGCTGTTTACGATGATAAAGTGATTTAAGTTTCAGAAAGTATAATCACTTTAATTTCTTCAGTATAAAAAAAAAAAAAAAAAAAAAAAAAAAAAAAAAAAAACTAGGAATTTATTACAAGTCATTTTAAATAACTATTTTAAGGGTACATATAAATAAGGATGCTCTGAAAAGAAAACGAAAGTTGTTAAAAGCTTCATTTACGTCTACGGTGAATAAGTTGAAACAATATTTGGCGATGAATGTAGACGGCAAGGATGGCGATAAGCTATGCGCATTGAACGCTCAGTTACGAGATAAATTTTTACGTTTAAATGAGATTCAGAAGAACATTTCGTCATTACTTTTAAAAAATACTGAGGCTGTTGCTGAATACGAAGCTGATTTTGAGGTGGCAGAGGATTACAGAGATAATTAATTATCTTGAGCTTAAATCAAAGGTAGAAATGCTATTAAGTAAAGATTCTGGATCTTTTTTGAAAAGTTCTGCAGAGCGTGATGTGGTAACATTAAGATTCTGGATCTTTTTTGAAAAGTTCTGCAGAGCGTGATGTGGTAACATTAAATTCCCTAAATTTAAATATAAAATATTTTCGGGTTATCCCAAAGAATTTTAACTTTTTGGAGTATTTTTTCAAAAATACATGACTCAGAGGAACTTGCTGTTATAGACAAATTCCAGTATTTATACCAGTCTATGGTGCCTGATTCGAGAGCTGCTACATTAATATCCAGTGTCATGTATCTGGCTGCGATGAGCCAATCAGCTGCCTGGCAGAGCCCAGCAAGTGAGAGAGACGACAGTTGCATGCTAGCCTCATAGGAGGCAGGTGGTAGATTAACTATGTTGTAGGAGCGAGGTAGTGCTCCGAGTTTACCATTATTCTTTGAACGTTAATTTTTAATAAATGTTTGTTTTGTTTTCTTTATGGTGCCTTATTCATGCGTGAAGGTCATTACAGCACGCTCTCTTTCGAGAACCAGAGCTGAACGAAGGGTGACTGGATTTTGGAGAAAAGGTGAGAAATTTTTGTTGTAATTTTAAGGAAAATTTCTTCTAAATATGTTTTAAGGGAGTAGTTAAAAGTGATTTGATTTCGGTGTTGAAGGAACTCGGTGAAGAAGCCGATTCTAGTTTAAAAGTTGTAGAATTAAAAGATAAGCTTTTAAGTTCTAAAGAATATTTGAAAGATAAAGATTTTGTTATTGAATTTCTTAATACTACGGTTGAAGAAAGGAAAAAGTCAGAGAAGAAATTGTGAAATTGCGTTTGAATGCAAATCGAAAGTAGCAACGAATCTAGTAATAACGTAGAAAATACACTTTCATTAGATAAGCTTTTGAAAGCTGTACAGGCATTATCGATTTCTGTACCTAAAAAGGGTGTGAAGCATGGAACTTATTTTTTGATTCCATAGAAAGGGCTTTTAAGCATAAGAACGTACCAAATGAGTTTAAGTCTGAAATTTTACTTAAACTGATAGGTGATAAATCTTCTAATATTCTAGTATATATTAAAGATGATGATTTGAAAGATTATGAAAAAATTAAATCTTTAATCCTTAAGGAATATGAACCATCGCCAATTATATGTTTAGAAAATTTTCGCCAAGCTCAAAGGTTGACGGGGGAAACTCATTTGCAGTTCGCCTCTCGTTTAAGATCATGTTGGATCCATTATTGTAAAA